TCATATTAGTGCAGTATTATTTTGTAACCTTAGTGTTAAATTTCCTAATGAAAAGGGCAATTTTAATTCGTAATTAGCCCGTTATAGTAATAAAATGTCCAAGAATGTTTATCTTTAGCGTCTCTTAAAAACAGTAGAACTAATGAGTTTCATTGATTGATAGAAATTAATTACAATTTTATGTACATAGAAAACACATTATCTCGGTAAAGTAAGTGTGAGAAAACCTTAATCACTCGATAAATTGAAAGAAGTCCATTCAATTGGTGATAGTAACATGTAAAAGTGATCATTACCATTTAGATGCAATTGATGTCGTGTTGGTGCACCAAGAAAATAGCTTACATTTACATAAAATTATGTATTTAATGGAGACGTTACTTATTAATGTTTTCTCACACGTTTACCCAGACGGAAGAGTGTCGATACACATTTGCATATATGATTGCATTCATTATGTGAATCACAGTAAACTCACTTTTCTGGGATGCTCGCAAAGAATACGAGAAAGCTAAAGGCAGGCTGTATTGGCAATTTTATAATAAATATTTATGATTTATGCGGACATAAATCGATAACATAAATTGAAATTTGTTTGAGACAAGAGAACACGTGTTTGTCAAAATTTGACATAAATTGCCACTTACATCGCCCGCAAATCTTATATCTCTCGGCTAAGAATTGCCTCGAAATATTGGCATGCATATTAAATAACCATAAGTTATATGATCACTGACCTCCGTTGAATAATTTTGTGCATGCGATTCCTAATATAGGATCTCGTGTCATCCACCTCGAGGTGTATGTATGAACAGAAGGAAACAAACGATAAATTAAATAACTGCTCTATAGATATGTCTGCTTAGACCGGCGCAGCTTTAAATTTCACAGTTTATTACAGAGTGCATGTGACCCAAATATGCCCCACGTTTGTCGCCTATTCGGCGTGCTGTGAATGTGGAATGTCTTTTAGTCGCGAATGCCACTATTTTATACTGCAACGATTATCTCTTTACTACACATACATAAGGAGAATTTTTAAAAAAAACACATAAAAAGAAAAAATTATAGACATTTCTTTCTTCACGATTAGACAAAAACAAAAATTAAGGATTTCCATCTTGATAACAAATCGTATAAAACACTTTAACAAAATGTTAGGTATTTTTTTGCGTATTAAGTTGATATACAAGATTGTGGTATACAAGCAATATTATACATTTTATTTATCTTAGTACATTCCGTGCAACAAGTGCAGTGTATTATTTACCTTTGCATTCTAAAATAAATGTCGTTTCAAATGATCTGTGAATGTGTAAACAATGAATGCGTCGTTCTTGCGTCTAAGGATAACTTTTTCTATCTCAACCCCGAGTTTATTGAGCTTGACGGTTCTGAGAAACGGATGCCGTCTCTTGAAGAGGTTAATTTTTATTTTTAATTGCCTAGTACAGTCGTTTTTAAAGTCAAATTAGTGAAAAATTTTAACGCATAATATACTAGCTGAAGAAGTATTTGATAGGATTTTCTTCGCTGCAGAAACAATGTGAAATACTTACATTTAGTTTTGTAGTATATATGGTATTGGTATATATAGTATAAAAAAATTGTAACAAGGATTTTGACAAGGGTACTGTCATCTTATACAGTACGTAACAACTGTCTGTATAAATTTCGAAGTCATAAGTTACTAAAAAACAAAGTAATTACATTTCAAACGCAGAAACATGCAGTGTCGCTGCATATAACGTATATCAGATTTCAATTAATTAAAGCGGAGGTGTTAGATGAATCGCGAAATGGGGATTAAATGGACGCTCGGCGTCGTTTCCAGGATATACGATGCTCGCTTAATGAAGTTTGTGTTCATTGTCGAAAACAGTTAGCGATAACATTCCGTTCGGTCGTGACGATTGGCCGCAGGAGCGTGTGTCGCGGGTAACGAGTGGCTAGTAGCTTTACACAGATCCAATGCAAATTGACTAGCGATTTGCGCGCGCATAAATCAGCCACTACACTGCAACATTTCGTCAATTAACGTCGAGCATATCGCGTGAGATAGAGAAATGTCCCACCGTTGTTGTTCAGCGTTTATCTGAGTTTATGCCTATAACTCGTCTAATTTAGGATGATCATTTTGACTGTGTACTCCTAGTGTTTTACGGTGAGCAAAAAATCATTAAAGGGCAGTCGATATTTGTATCTTATTGAATACTCCGCATGTTTGTTCATGTATGTTTTTTTATACAATAGCTATTCGATTTCAAATTTCTATAAATTATTAGACAATACCTCATACCCATAGGTAATTTTCAAACTAATCATCCTACATAAGATAAAGGCAGGAAATAAACAAAATTATAGGAATTTTTCAAATAGCACCACCCAAGCGTCTTGTCGCCACCCTTAGGGCATTCATCGCCAGTACAACTAACGAGAAAGTGAATTATAAGCCCGGTATAATTGTCTGGAGCGGTTGCAGGCGCGCGAACGAAATTATAGGGAGATCTTGTAAAAGGACGACGTACAAAACTTTACAAACTCAATTTGCGCTTCATCTATCAGAGTTCCCGTAACATAGAGAAATAAGTTTAATAACACTTTGTACATAAACGTATAAAGGTTTTTTATGATAGAGAAAGATAGCCAGGCGTGGGTTCTCTTGGTAGTTAATTAGACCAGCTACATAATACCTAAACAAAATGCGTTATCGACCTATTTTAGCATTATATATTTGGGAACGACTGGAGGTCATCTTCACGAGCTATAGTACATCGTGGATTCGATCTCTATCATCGTTTTTTTCATAAAATACTTTTTCAAAGAATAATATTTCTCATGTACAATAATAAAATAGTTCATTATAGTATATTCCCATGATCTTTAAAGGCGATTAAACATTCTTCCGGTAGTTTGTGTATAACGGTGCTTATGTGTAACAAACACGCATTGAATTTGTGTAATTATGAACATTGGACAGCTTATATCAAGCAACAATGTGCTCTTAACGAGGTAAAGGAGAAAGGCCGTGTCTGGAGTAACAAGTACTAGTTATCCTTAATTAGATTTCCCTTTAGTTTCATATATAGAATGATAGTGGGATTTAAATTTAGAAAACTTTCGGGCATATATTTTTTTTTAAACAAACATTTACAAAGTACCTTACGATATCTACTATCTGTACTAGAGTTTCCGCACAAAACTAAATTTTTTTTTTTATATTATTTTTACAATAATTTCAGTAAATCACTACAGCGAAATATCATCTGTATAGATTTTAAATATTGCATAGTAAAAAAGCATCGATTAGTTTTCATAAGGATGATTTAAGCATGACTACGCCTTGCAATTTACGCGTTGAGCTGAACTAATCTAATCTGGGGACGTTAGTGGGCGGTACGTTATCCCCACACTGGGACACCCACATGCCAATTATGAGGGAAGAGCGTACGATACGATAACAACAACAACAGACGTTTATCGCGAAAGTATTGGTAAAAGATTTCCGCGTTCGCTGTTTACTGTGGAACGTATAATTTTCACCGCTGTCAATTAGTATTTATCCGATAGGCGTATCTCGCTATTGTCTTTCATACACATAAAGTTAGAGATTAGAGGAAAGCCATCGTGCCGGACATTTATACAGGCACTGTCTCTTAATAGGTAGCAGCCACCGCGGGTCAAGTTCCTTTTGTAATCCACGATCATCAGTATCTAATGCTGAGTTCTTCATCAATCAAGATCTCTCAGTGAAATATAATCGAGAGCAAAAGAGGCGGGATTTCAACGTGCACCGCGTACATAGCTCATCGATAATGACGCATGGAAGGAACGTAATTACAATAAATATCGCTCACGTGGGCAAGAATAGCTGACACGACGTGTCGACGCTACTTGCTCGTAATTATGTAACATCCAAGGAATAAAAGAACGAAATAGACGACAGCGAAGAGGCATTAGGTGAAAAATTCATTCTACGTAACTTTTACTTCTTGGTATGTTAATCAAAAAGTATAAATACAATCCTACGCAGTCAATTAAGGACGATCCTTGATCTACATATCTTTACATAATTCTTAATGAATAAAATATGCGGTTTCTCGCTATCGTTTACATCATCTACAATTAGAATTAACGTGCCATTAGCGATGTAAATTATTAAAAAGCAATAAACACAGTTCAATCACCTCGGATCGTTCAGCAATCTTAGCTTAGATGCAGCGCAAAATGACAAACCGTTTACAAAAAGGAGCAAAGCGTATTAAAAAAGGGGAACAGCACGAGAATAATAACAGTCCTGATGGCTGTGTTATTACTGTAATGTCAGGTTGCTTAGTCCTGATTCCCGGACGTAGCGCGGCGATGCGGGCGAATCTAAAAAGCAACAAATGTAGCGAAAATGTCTACATCGCGACAGCTCTATGAGGTTCTCTGCTGTACTTTTTGTGATTCTTCGATCAACTCGATGTAGAGCCAAAAAAGTCGAACTCGATTATATCGAAATGAAATAAAAGTTAGCGCAGAATGAAGATGATGTAGCGCGTTTTAAATTGAAAATTAGCAAAAAGCTCATTGTTTGCTTTGGTAACCTCGTTTAAATAGTTTACTTTTACAAACAAACACTGACTTTGGTAGATTCAATTTCGAAGCAGGTTTAAAATAATAGTGCAAAATTTTGGACGACTCCTAATTTCCATATCAGACTTTTTAGTTTCGGCAAAAAACGGCTAACGTTAACCGTGACAGAATGTGAATCCAACTGAGAATTCGAAGAGATGCGAGCGAAATTAATTACTATCTCATTATTTGAGTAAAAGCGAATTAGAAAGGAAGAGTGCATGTCACAGCACGGAGACAACAGAGAAAGCACTTGACACATCGCGAAAGGGAACCACTTATGTATAAGGTGCATTGACATCACCCGAACTAGCTCTCCGATCGCCAACAGGATTATCGTAAGAACTCGAAACAGCACTTTCCTCATAACGCTATACAAGTTTTTATATACATGGATAGCATGGAGTCGTGGAGCGAGTTCCTGAATTAAGTACTTCCTGAATGCATTTATTTAAAGTAGGTGTTCTTTTAACCATGAGCAAACGTATCTCGTATTTGCTCCGGGCTTCGGATTTCCCGCGATTATTGCTTTTATTTTGCGCTCGTTTGCCGATATCAAGGTAACGGTAGAACACGGGGATTTGCATGGTGCACCCATTAGACAAACCGCTGCCGGTGGAAGTTATTAAAATACCTTTAAGATCGGTACCGCTTTTGACGGAGGCGATAAAGAGAGGAGACTGAGTCGTGAGCGCGCCGCAAGCTATAATGCTTTTGGGATGCAGTCGAGCTCCCGAGGAAGTACCGCAAATAAAATGGATTGAAGTGTTTCGTGAGCTTGTATTGATAAATGCGACTTTATCGAACACGAATAGTGTAACTTTACTGTTACTTTGGATATTTTGCAGATAAACAATATGGAGTACACTCATCCCTTTAAAGAACGAGCGTTTGATATCAGGATCCGAATCCTGGAGCCTTACAAAAATGTAAGAGGTATATTTTTGGGCTTCGTCTTCGTTCAGTGATCGACACTTCGGTTAAGACATCGGCACTTTTACTAACGTTAGGCTAGAAAGTGGGACCGTGAAAAGTGTCAATCCAGCCGCCGAGTCGCGTGACAACTACAAGACCGAACATTATGATTCCACGTACGATGTTAAACCACTTATTCGGCGCACAGTGACCGTTATCCGGCGCACGCACGCCGCCTGCATCAATGGCATATTTTTCCTCGGCGAAACTCCACGCACATTTGCCATTCAAGGTTAACCCGGTCACCGCTGCGCTTTGTTTACAAGAGCCGAGCGAAGACGAGGCGGGAATTCCAGCGTTTAGAAATCGTATTTTAATTAAACGAAAGTAAGAGAGTGTCGCGTTTAAAATAAGCTTATGGCTCTAGGGCTACTTGAGATATATTTATCAGCTGGACCTTAATAACAACCTGATAAAAATTAGAAAACTATTATATTACATTTCCCACGATTAAGTGTTATATGTATTCAATTACTTAATTCAATTATTTTTTATTCACTTGCCGACTGGTGTTATACAGTATCATCGAGTACGAGTATATTTTAGGACAAAATATTATTAGATAGTTCAGCATATACATAGATATTGGGCGAGTCATACTTTATGGTAATGCAATACATAGATAAATATAGAGAATAACTCAATATTCCTTTAAAGTAACTATATTTTTGAATAAAAGGCAGTAATAAACATCTAACAATGCCAACACATTTGGGTTTATCACTATTTTATGCATAGAGTTGGCGATTTTGCAAATTGAATCATCCATTTTGAGGCGCTGTTATAAACATCAGCTGTCTAAAACGTCGGCGTCGATCATGATAACGGCGTGCGTGTCTGAGCTCTATAAGCGAACCCTTGAGCTAAATGGCTAAATCAAATCTGTATCACTGGCGAATGTGTCGCTTAATTGAACAGAATGTCAATAGCATTATTTCAGGCCTTTCTCTTGGTCTTAGTCCTCTTCGTGCATTTAAATAACATTATTTGCAGATTCAAGTCAAGCCTGAAGGTTAATTAGACCATACGAACGTAAACGAGAATATCTTAGTTCCTTGAAGGTTGAAATTAGGCTAATGCAAGCGGTATGCTGGCACTGCCCCCTATAATGAGGAAAGTAAACCGTATCCGCAACTAACTCATATGTGGGATCAAAACAAGTCGCGAAGCCTCAGTGCACAGGTTTCTCACAAACTGGTTAAACTGCAGGCTGAGGTTTAATAAGACCTCCTGTTTAATTAAGTGCCCCTTTAAGTCTAAACACAACAAACATTGTAAGTTGAATACTATGCAGTAAACTAATGACAACATTAATCGAAATACAATTTTATATATACCTCTAAACAGTTTAAAACGTGATTTATGGTAGTGTAGTGCTGTGGTTCAACGTTTTAAATTAGATTCAAAATACAATAGTAAAAGTATTACATAATATAGATCGCTTTTAAAACCAGTATGAGTGTTTATTTAAGATGTAGGTTCCAGGCAACGAATAGAAAATACGATAAAGCTGCTGAATTTGCGAATTCAATTACGTGCAAGACAAATGATCTAGCAATGCAACACTGTCAACTAAAGGACAGAAAGCGAAGCTGTAACAAATAGGTTTTACAGCATTAATAGGTTTCACCATTCGCGTGCCCGCTGCGGCCAAATACGATCTGTCGTCATGCCATCCGTACATTTTAACGAGAGCGCGATTACCCGCACCGATAGCGACAGCCTAATGAAAACCCTTGAATAATGCATTAATACCAGCGTTAAATCGTGAGCACCTACAATCGGCATAACGACTCGAGAATACTAGAGATGCAAATTTGACTTAACAGTCGTCGCCAAGCTTCCGGCTCCGAAGAACCAAACGCGCGCTGTAATACATTATATTATGTAGTCGACATTACCACGATTTGATTTATTGACGGCGGCCGTAAGTCACCACGATGCCTCCAACGTCGCAATCCTAGCAGTTGTGACCATTCCATGTAGTATAGCACATCGTGGCTTGTCTCACGCCGCGACCCATGCTCACCTTCCCTATTGAAATGTCAGTGCTCGGACTGGTGACGAGACAATCGTAAAATACAATGTTAAGGTCACATCATGACTTCAATAAACCATTCTTAACATGGGAAACGTGATAGTCGCCGAGGACCCTTCGCAAGAATCCCTGAAAGTGTGTCAACCTTGTTACATACCGGTGAACATCGCTACATGGTTGTTGGTTCACCGAAGCTTATGAAGTATTCTCGAAATGCGAATATGAACGAAGTTAAATCGTGTATGACAACAGAAGGCTTTTGACGTTCATAAATGACTTATTATACAAAAAGACTTCACTGTCCGTCTCTAAGTGTTGGTTGAACCGTGATCATTAAATTCAATTAAATCTTTGCTGAAGATGACGACTACAATAAATAAATTTCAGAATATAATTAAAAATTATTTGGACGTTTTGATTTTAAATATTACACATTAGATTTGTGTGAAGGCGATCTCCTATAAAGTGATCTCAACCGATCCTAGCATTACATAAGGTCATTTGTAAGATGGAAATAGTACAAGAGCAGAGGGCAGGCTCGAACAGCATGATAACAAGTTACAACCATACCTTGCCATTCCCGCGTTCCACATTCGGCGAAACTCACTATTGGGGTCGTTATGTCGTCGTTCTCATCGAGCAAATGCTATCGGTTTTTCGCAAGTAAATTCAACCACTTTAAAGGCCATTTGATCTTTGCAGACACTATTAGGACAACACGAAACTGCATTCCGAATGAATTCCGTGGACTATGGACTGAAGCGTAAAGCGCCGAGATATTGAATTGCGGCTTCACAATGTGCACATAATTCAACGCGTGACAGTAAAATTGTCGATGTAAATAAAGGCAGCGGGTCGATATTCCAGAATAATTTATCATACCAATTTGTGTGTCAACAGGACACGGGGCAAGTCATCGAGCGCCAACATAGCGGGGTTTTACTTTCTTATAGTGGCCTCAGCAAACTAGTTAAGAGAAAGTAGGATTACTATCTAACACTATATCGTTACATAACTTTGTCTGATCGGATTACTCCATAGGGCATTTACGAAGTAGACCGATCACCGTTAAGCACACCGCCTCTAGCTCAAAATAATGCACTTATTCGACTCAGACTGGAACGAATAAGCACCAAAGATATACCATTATACTAACAATAGAATGCGTATCCACCCAAAAGCCGACTGTACGCCAAATAGGCATTTTCTCATAAATATTTATGACGGACACAAAGACGCTTTATGGACTTCCACATATACACAGAATTATACTGGCTGTCAAAGAAGGATTTTGAACAATGACCGAAACGGTTCGCATTAAAGAAAATAAAGGAATTTCTCTTGGCAACTGTCACGGTTAATTTTAGTGCTGCTATGGAGGGTTCAGATGCTAGAAATGAGGCTACCACAACGTTTTAGAAGAACCTAATAGTATCGGTGTGGACAGGGCGCTTAGTTTGTTTAGCCACTCAGCCATAAGGTGGGTGTCTTTGGAAATTCTGCTTTTATATTAGTCGGTCAATTTGTTTTTGTTCCTTGCGGTTACAGAGAGCAGAATGCGGTTATAGGAGGAAATTGTGGTGTTGCGACTGTGAGGTGTAGGTGAACGACGTGCGACGGTACTTATTAAAACACTGAGAATTTACGAGTCAATACATAGAGGTGCACAATTTTACAGTTAACTCGGACCCAGTAACAAAACAGACACTGTCAACTATCACACGCATATTTTCCACAACCTTTGCACAGGCGTAAGACACAATTCATTGTTCTAGAAAAAATATTCTCGTATTGAAACTTGATTATTTTCTTTGCAAAAAGCAAAGCATAAAATCAGCACGATGGATTTTTCTACTTTTTCGTCTGTTTCGCGGCTCCGTAGTTAATTTGCTATAGTAGGTATCCTGAATCGGATTTCACGCTTTACGGTAGGTAATGAAATCTAGCAGTACTGCGTGTTTTTTACTCCGGAAAGTGTCAAAACAAAATTACGATATCAATATAATGTAAGAAGGACAGGCTGCTGACGTACGAATAACTGTATAGTGCAAATGCAATAAAAAATACTCCCAGCGACGAAAACTCATTTCGAAAGATTAATTTCTCTATTACGATGGCATAAAAGCCGAATAAAATCACGTACATGGCCATAGACCCAGAATTGTGCAATTCAGAGCCGCGACGAAGTTTGGTGTCCGACTGAAAAAATTAATCGAATTAAACATAAATAACGAAAACTTTTTCTTAATAATAAAACGATTTTTATTGCGTATTTTGCTAGATACACAATCAATCAGTATTCTCAAAGATAATCTATGCTGCATACCTATCTAGGGTGGTGGTCTATTTATCTATCTATGGTGGGATTTGGATTTCACTGTGGTTTATTTCACCATTGTTCAAAACGTGCTTTGCATGGAAATGTTGAATTTCCATAGCGCGCAAATCAGTAAACGCTAGTGACACGGTGCTAAGTTATTGTCGAGTTTTAGTAACAGTCAAGAAGTGACTTGGATGTACGACGTTGATCGCTGCGACATGATAACGTTGCACTGCGTGGGAGAGACAGTATTTCTAAGAGGTGTCGATGGATACTCGATTCCAATAGCGGATTACAGGTGCTGAGTAATTTAGAAGCTAAATCCCAATAGCAGGTAGAATATTTGATTATAGATTTCAATTGAGGCATAAATTAATAACTTCCAAGAAAAAAGAAATAAACTTTTATTTTAAACTGAAAAATTTATCTAATAATGAAATTTTATTTGAATAAAAACTCCTATGTACTATGGCGCATTAAACATTTTTAAAACATTTATATTCTTTATTAAGGGGCATATGTTTATTTCGTCGTTTGAA